TATTATAGTCTACTTATTCACTTACAAGCAATTATGACAGTCAAGAGTGTTATTGTAAAAGTTGATTACCACTAAATACTAGATATCCATGATGAAAGTTCATAATACGTTCAGAAGTCATTTTATTTTATCTTCCTGTCTTTTTGACTCTTTCTTCAGCCAGAAAAACTACAGAGGTAAATGACTTCTTTCTTCAACTCATTGGGATATTAATTTGAAGTTCAATTATGATCATTTGTTTGACAACCCACTTTACTACTATATATTTGGCCACCATCAGACAATCACCCAATTGTAGGTACTATTCAGGGTGACTTGGAATTCACATACGTTTTCAAGTTTGGGAACTGAAGAAATTTGGGGGCATACAAAAGAAATAAAGCCGAAAATTCTGAATTCGGAGAACCTCTTGAAATCAAAGGGAGTGACTTAGATTGGTTTATAAATGAGGGAACCCTGTGTACTTGAACTTCAGTTCATTAAAGTGAAGATAATCTAGCTTACATACGTTGGAATATGCAGCCCTCTTAAGAAAGGAAGTTATCAGAAAAAAGAAAATATAAACATTCTCAAGTGAAGCATGCACATAAATAATCTCCCTGAACATCAGTTTCAATATGTTTTTGATGAGTCCTAGATCTGTGTCAATTCAAATCACACAGAAACTAACGTTCACTGGGGGTCAATTTCTAACAAGTGAATTGCTCAGAAGAAATACGCAGCAGCATGAGGTACTACTCATAAAGCCAAGTTCTTAAATCTTTTACCCAAATTGGCATATTATTACCAATTGCCACTAATCATTGAATCCAATAAACATTAGTCATGCCTATAGTACCTTCTAAAAACACTGATATTTTTCTAAGCTCCAATAACGTAAGAAATTATATTTGACAATCTGACAACTCCCAGTCAAACTAACAAAAGACACAAATGATTTTCTTTATTATATATTTTTTTACTTTAATATCTTATTTGTTACAAAGTGGGAAAAGGGACTTTGCAACACAGCCAAAGATCATATTTACATGTTATGTATTTTCATTCTCTGTGGCAAAATTTATTGTGGCCAAAGAAATATTTGGCTCAGGGGAGAAAATATTTTTGTTGTCCTAATAAAAATAGCTTAGTTTCTTTAGGAAACTTAAAAAAGTTGACTGTCTTTCGATTTCCCCCTTAATGGTTCCAGATGGTCAAAGCTATAAAAGATCACCCCTCTATTCTTCTATTGTGATCCTGAGGTCACATATTATCTCTACAATGTAAGATCGCTTTTTCTGAATAGTCAGGTTGATGTTGAGCATTATTCATCCATTCATCCAATGTATCTCGGGCCAAACCTCAGCAATGACAGAAGTAACTGATTAGCCTAAAACTTTGCCAAAGAAATAAATGTCTATTGCTTTAAGCATTTCAAAACTCCTTCCTACTTATAAACAAGAGAACTATTCTGACATTTAAATGATAACAGACAGCTGCCAGGATGGACAATGGGGCAACACCATCATGCACTATTTTCCTATTCTTGAAATGTAAAAAAAAAAAAGAAAGAAGATTAAACCAATGAAACTTTTAAAACTTTTTATTACGTCTAAAAAAGGCAAAGAATTTATCATTTCAATTTATGTTCAAACATAAATATTCACACCTTTCCTTTCTGTTTAAAAAAAGTATTTCCTATTATGATAATGAAATTGCTTTGAAACTGCATAGAAAATAATACACAAAATAATGTAATATACTAGAGTAATAAGGTTAATTTCTTTCCTGCTGTCACCAAATTCATGCTAGCAGGATCTCTTCAGCTTGACATCAATTAATGATTTTAATTCCAGACTCTTGTCACAGTATTCACCGCCCTTTTCTCTAATTAAAATGGATGACACAAGGTGAAGATAAAACACACCAGACTTCTGTCCTTGTAACATTTCTATTCGTGAGGATTTTTGCTTTTACAATAAATGGCTTTTTGCACTAATTATGGTAAAGATGAAAATAACTTTTTATAACTATGAAGTATAGTTTTTATATATCTCAAAAAGGTACAAGGCATGAGAATCTTTATTGGAGTGCCAAGGTGACCAACACCTGAAGACAGAAAAATCAATGGTGTACTTAAGTACTCAGATACATCCAAAATACTTCCATTTCCAAAGTCGTGAAGCTTCAAGGCATAGAACAACTAATGGTGCATTTTTTAAAGACTCCAGGAGACAGAAATTGACCTTTAATAATTTTAATACCAAAAAAATGCTATTAATGTCTACAGAAGATAGAATATACTAATATGGATTTAACAGCAAAAAAATATAAAATAAATTTCAAATTACTACATATTAGATGTTGACTATCTTCAAAACAATGTTTAAAATCTTGCAGTCACCTCTTTTGGGAAACATTTTACTCCCAATTTATTGCACTGCCTTCAAGAAGACTCAGTCTGGGAGCAAAGTTCCTGGATCTTTTCCTAACATATTTCCTCTAAAACTCTGTATTATAGAAATTTATTAAATAAAACCTTAATTCATGGCAGAATGAAATTTGAGCTATGAGACAACTAGCAGGAGCAGTTCAATTTAATAGCAGTCTGTGGTCAACTGAATGAATGTTTTATTTGCTCCTCAAAGCACTTTAGCAAATGGCAGACTTCATAAATCCTGTGGCTAAGTCATCAATCCTTTAGCTTATCCTGCTGCATAAATCTAACATCTGCTACCTATCAGTATGGAAGGGGCCAATTTGGTGTCTATGTTGAATTCCCAAACAAGGGACAATATTCCACTAGTTTACTTTGAAAACAGTCATAATTTTAAGTGGGATTTTATTATATTTGTAATGAGGAGATGAAAGTTGATTGAGAAGAAAAGATGTCCATATTCTAAGTGGGCCCTGAAAAAAACATTTCTGAGTGACAACAAAACAGTTGTTTTGAAGGTGCATTTCCAATTCCAGGGAAGAAAGCAAGCTGTTGAAATCCACCTTGTAATTGGTGAGAGGGAAGCTAAACCTAATCCCTTAATGCTAAAATGTGGTATCAGTTTTAAGGTATAAAATGGTAAGAGTTGAAAAACAGACAAAAGAAAAGCACTGATAGAAATACTTACTAATGACCAACACAATCACAATTTTTAAAGAATCCACCCAGTTAGAATGTCCCCCTCTATGAGTCTTTGTACCTGAGTGTGGTTATAGAAGTTTCCCCTTTTGCTAAGCACCTATGTTCTCAGGATAAAGACCTAGACCTCCAATTACCATCTTTATGAAGTGTCCATCATTAACTGTAGCATCACCAACCTCTTCCTTTCCCAAAGCTCTGCAGTTACTTTTGCAATTGATTATATTGTCTTACACAACTTTTTAACATTAATGTTTAAAGTCTTTTCTCCCTCTTAACAAAGGCAAGGTTTCCCTGAGAGAGGGAACATCATCCTCCTCATAACAAAAAATGTGAACTATCGCATTGTGTATTTAAAATATTGTGAAACAACAGAACCTCTCTTTTTTACTAATAAAACATTAGCATGACATTTCACTGGCTGAAACACACACATACACACGCACATACTCACACTCTCATAGATATGCACTCACAGTATGTTCAAGCTTTCATAAGTAGCAAAACACCTACAGTTATTTCCAACTTAAAGAAATGCCACAATGCCAAATCCATCTTAGACTGCTCTCATCAAAAATAAAACTGCCTAGTCTTACCCCACTTACAGTCGGTCAATAAATTCTTTTCTGAATATATTCGCCTAAGGCTTAATATGCTCACATATTGGTCTAAGTAGTGAATTTCCACAGAGTTAATAGATTCTTTCAAATTTTTGTCCACCTGTACAAATTTTTAAAAAATGCCTGATGAAAATAATCTCATTGATTAGTTAACTTTTCAAAAGGACTTAAGAGGTCAAAGAATATAAGAAAAACTGCTCTAGAATAAAAACACAGGTTTTCTATTAAAAGGTTAATTTTAAACATCAAGCTGTTTGTATGACAATATGTGATCCAAATGCAAACATTATCCAGGTTATCCAGGTTCTGATGTCACCTGGACACCAAGCCTCAAGTCAAAATGAGTGAAAATTTTTTTAAATTTTCAAATGTACAGGAAATGCATCTATCATTGCTATATAGATTGTTTCTCCTGTAATTTCACTAACTTTTTATTCATGCCCTTTGAACAAACTTTACTATCACAAGAGTAACACTTCCAGTGAGTGGGAACCATATGCAGGAATGCCACAGAAAGTTGCAAAATGACATACCAAGAACTGGGAGTGTACCACTTATGGAAATGGGTAGTTCAATCATTTGATACAGAGAACGCAGGCTTTTAAGGATGATCATCAAGTAGTGGAATGTTTCAAGCCATACATTTCTTCAGCAGATTTATAAATACCTTTCCTACCCTGGGAGGATACCATAAGGAATTCATTACCTTTTTCATGTCTCCACTGGATGCATTCAGCCCCTTGAAAATATTTCCAAGAACAACTTACTATGCAGATAAAGATAATATCATAATAGGTATCCCTTGCTGAGTAACTATAAAATGCAAGCCAGTTTACATTATAAATCTCATTTCATAGAATGAATAGCGTATGAGATAAATAGTGTTTGAGAGTTGGGGAATTTGGCCAAATATCATAGCTAAAATTTCATCTTTCAGACCTTTCCTTCTTTCTGTCCTTCCTTCCCATCTACCCATCTAGTCATACAGACTTGGCCTTGTTCCAGAAAACATTTAACATGATTTTCTAAGAATGTACAAAAATGCAAAATAAATCAAAATGAAAACAGATGTTAGCTTTTACAAAGTATGTGTATGCAGAAATATGTATTTTACAGGAAAAAGAATGGCACAGACTGGTATGTTAACAGTGGTATTAGGACAGATAAATGTTTTCTTATTTTAACTTTATGGTTTTTTAAAATTTTCAGTAGGTTTAGAATTAGAATTTAGAATTCGATCTTTAATAGGTATTTCCTTTAAATAGGTGAGAAACATGTGGAAAGAAAAAACGGAACAGGAAAAGGATCAAGTACACAAAGCAGACGCCACCAAGCAGAGGCGGGTCACAGCATGGCTCAGACTTGCTCACAGCCGTACAGCCAAGCCCGGTCTCAACAGCCAGTTAGTCGCGTGAGCTGGACATGCCTGACCCAGGCGCCAATGGGCTGTGTTTGCCGTCAGTAATTCCCAAAGGCTGCTGAATTCGGAGAGATTTTAGTGTTTCATGAAAAACAAAAAGGGAGATGTTCTGTGAATAAATACGTTAGGAAATGATTCTCTATTCCTATTTTGGTGACCCACAATGTACATTAACAAAATTAGGTTTTAAGAAATAACACCACCATTATTTATCAGTATGAAATACTGAAATACGCACACACTGGTTTAACCACATGTTTCGCAAACATATTTGCATGGGAACCCTATTTCTGCCGCTGAGCGCTGTCTGGGAGACCACACCCCACACTGTTTATTTACCAACCAATAAGACATCAGTGGAGATATCACTGCAGTAGAAACTCAGCAGAAAACCCAAACATTACTCCTGACACGTGGTCAACGGGGAGATCACTGTGCTTTGTGATGGGTGCTAAGTGAATCGGAAGTTGCACAGATCATTTAACTGAACAGATTCTGTTTGCAGTTTGGAGCACAGTCCTTTTGTGTGGTGGAAATGAGCCAACAGGGACTCTGCCCCCAGGATGCCTGAAAGACAAGCAGCAAGCACTTAATTCACACCTCAGCTCCTGATACTGACTGTTGCTCAGGTCCCCCAGCCAGGCCAAATGTGGCCAACAGTATCTCTGATAGGCTGGGTACCTAGGTTCAGAGCTCAGAGCTGGAAGTCAAAATAGCACATCACTGGGCCAGTTTACTTCACCCTCAGCATCATCCCTAGATTCCCCACTTCTCACAAAGCCACCTGAGGCATCAAGCTCATGTGTGGGGCAGAGTAGGATGGTGGAGTCAGAGGGTGAATCCATGCAGAGACCTCATCCTTTTCTCCACCTGGACAGCATGTATTCAAGATCCCATCTCCCAGTGATGGCAGGTGAGTGGGAGGGAAAGGAGGAAGTTAGTAAGAATAAAGTCAAGTTTCTTCTAACACCATGTTTTGAAATACAATTCACTTCCATTATCTAAGTAGATGTTAACATGGTAGTAACATTTTAAATTATATTCACTGTCCTTCCAATTTTTCAAAATTTCTATGTTGAGTAATACTGAAGCTTCCTGGATATATGTGGACAAAAAATATTTCAGTATATGGGTATATCATAACTAATAACTAAGGGATGTCAAGTTTTCTAATTTCATATGTAAACAGCCAAAATAATTTTTGGAACTCAAATAACTGCATTGGTAAATAATGTTACAGGAGATGCTTCATTCCTATTCAGCAGAGAAGTAAAGGCTGTGGTGAGAATATAAGCAGTGGTGCGTTCATTTATTATTTATTTATTTTATTAAAGTATTGATACACAGTCTTATGTTGGTTTCAAATATACAGCACAGTGGTTCAGCAGTTACCCATATTATTAAGTTCTCACCAAATTAGTGCGGTTACTATCTGTGTACTAAGATGTTACAAAATCATTGACTATATTCTCCATGCTGTACTACCATTCCCATGACCAACTTATGTTGTGATTGTGAATTATTTTGCCCCTTTATCCCCCTCACCCCCCCAACTTACTCCAACCCCTCCCGCTTGGTTACCACCAGTCCCTTCTCAGTGTCTGTGAGTCTGCTGCTGTTTTGTTCCTTTTGTTTTGCTTTGTTTTCATACTCCACAAATTAGTGAAATCATTTGGTATTTGTCTTTCTCCACCTGGCTTATTTCACTGAGCATAATACCCTCTAGATCCATCCACGTTGTTGAAAATGGCAGGATTTCTTTTCTTTTTATGGATGAATAATATCCATTGTGTATATGTACCACATCTTCTTTATCCATTCATCTGTTGATGGACACTTATGTGGCTTCCATATCTTGGCTATTGCAAATAATGCAGTGATAAACATAGGGATGCATATGTCTTTTAGAATCAGGGACTTTGTTTTCTTTGGGTAAATTCCTAGGAGTAGAATTACTGGGCCAAATGGTACTTCTATTTTTAGTTTTTTTGAGGAAATTCCATATGCTTTCCACAGTGGCTGCACCAACTGACATTCCCACTAACAGTGTAGGAGTGTTCCCGTTTCTCCATATCCTCACCAGCATTTATTATATCTTGTCTTTTGGATGTTGGCCATTCTCACTGGGGTGAGGTGATAACTCATTGTGGTTTTGATTTGCATTTCCCTGATAATTAGCAACGTGGAACATCTTTTCATGTGCCTGTTGGTCATTTGTATTTCTTCTTTGGAGAAGTGTCTGTTCAGGTCCTCCACCCATTTTTTAATTGGGTTATTTGTCTTTTGGGTGTTGAGGCATGTGAGCTCTTTATATATTTTGGATGTTAACCCTTTATCAGATGAGTCATTTATGAATACATTCTCCCATACTGTAGAATGCCTTTTTGTTCTGATGGTGTGGTGTATTTATTTTAAATCTATTCTTTCAACCAACTTCTTACCAAAGAAGTTGTAGTTTCCATTCTCAAAAAATAGCATTGCCAATGCCAACAGACAGAGCAGAAAGGACACACAAAATAACAAATGCTGCACAAACCCTGTTTATGCAATTCCATAAATCTCATGTATGCACTTGCTCAATTACAAGATCCATGGGTTTAAATAAAACATACTTGTAAAAATTGTTACTGAAATACAAAGTCAAATTATAATAGTTTTCTTAAATTATGAAGCTAATTGATTTTTTAATGGATTATTCACTTGTTCCTTGACCCTCAAAGATTTTTATTCTAGGCCTCCTGTATGTTGTAAATTCATTATGACCAACATAGTTCCCAGAAGGATTGCGTCATTAGAGGTACAGAGATGGAGATTAAAAATAAAACTGAGAAGTGAACTGTGCCTTAGGCAAATTAATAATACAAGTGAAGCCATTATGTAAAAATCATTGTTTGGCTGTGAAAATGTGACTATGGAAAATGCTGATAGAATTTGCATTGAAACACTGCAGTCACCTCAAGCTGTAAAAAAGGAATATTTAGAATATGAAAAATGGCCCAGGATTAATGAAGCTATTCCCTTTGGCTGACATCAAGGCAGGGGAGAAGTATAATGTTTTTTCTATTGCTCAGATTGCTCTCAAACTAAATCACATATCTGCATGTGGATAAATCTGAGTCCATACATTTATCTGGTATATACTCTTCCGCTAGGGACAAGAAAGTCTTTTAGAAGTTTATGCTAGTGAGCAATTAAATGCCACATCACACACACTAAGGGACACTGTGTACCCTGGCCAAAAAATAGTGAGTGTGTTAACAAAGTTGGGATTCCAAAATTGGTGAGAAGAAAAGAGAGCCCTAGAAAGCAAGAGAAACGGAGTGATTTTTTATAAGTAAAAATGGGAGAACAACCAGAAAAATAAACCAAGACTTGCAACATAAATTAAAAGTCTGTATTTTTCCCACTTTACTCTGAAAAGCTACAGAGAATCAGAGCATCTATTCTAGGAAAAAAGCTTCAGTGGTGTGAGAAACAAATGGAGAAATATCCAAACATTAGTCACTTCAAAACTGTGCTAAGATACTTTTTTATTTCTTTCATTCATTGTTAAGTATAAGACTGAAAGTGCTCTAACTCTAGAACTATGGTAAGAATGCTGGACCTGGTCTTAAAGATGCTGGGCTGTAATTCCAGCTATGGACAATATTTAGCTTTATAAATTTCAAGGCACCAGAAACTCCTTTATGCACCACATATTAGAAATAAAATAAGCATAGTATCTTTTCCTGTGGCTGCTCTGAAAGTGGAACGTCATGACACAGAGTGGTTCACTACGAGCCTGTATACCTTAATAACAAATGTGTGAGATGGCTTTCTCATCTCCTAGGAAATATAATGAAAAATATTCTAATCACTTATAAAAATAGTTTGCAACTGTCTGCTCAAAGTCACTTTTTGTTCATTTCATTGGTCTTTGGGTTCTCAACATGGGATGATTCAACAATAGCAATCTTTCTGGATGAGATGGAATAAAGAGTAAGTGGAAAATGTCACAAAACATAATTGGGAAATAGAAGGAGAAAAAAGAAATAAATGTGAATCAAAATATTTTAAATGAGATCTACAAATTCAAATAGTTTTAGTTCCATGAATATTTCTCATGCGATTATTACACTGCATATTCATAGAGGAATGAGACAGAATTTTAAATATTTCTCTGTGGTTTTATCATAACTTCAGCATTAATGCTTATTTATTTATTCATCTAATGGGGCCCACTACCTCCTATGCAAAGATCCTAACTGAAAACCATTACTATTTACTTTAATGCCTCAAATACATATAAAGTTTTTCTTTTCATATTTAGATTGTATTCATCCCACAAACATCAGTATTTGGATGACACAGAAAAACTAGAAATCAATTGAGTGCAAATTCTTTATATTAAAAAAGAAAAAGAGAGAAAAGAAAGAAAAGAAAGAAAAAAGAACCTCTATCGAATGAGGTTTAGTCAAGCAACTTAAATCTACCTCTCCTGCTCCTGTTTCATGCGTATTCTCTCCTCTTCTGATGTAAGGGAGTCCTGCATTTTTATTTTACCCATTTTCTCAATCTTGTCATCTTTTCGATGTTTGCCAAACCTGTTGATAACAAAAAAGTCTACTTGTCAATATATACACAATGAGTTTTCATTCTTTTTTGCTAACAATGTATGTAGTCAATGAAATGTGGGCTTCTTCAAAATTGGGGGCCAAAATGTCCCCTGCAGTTCATGACTTTGGCCAAGAATTAATATTAAAATCCAATTATTTTATTCATTCTTAATTAGAACTTTACAGAGGAAACCTTTATGGAAATGGCACAAGTACCTACCTTTTTTTTTTTCCCCAAAACAAATATAAACAACAACAAAAACCTTGAAGTTCATCCTTATTGAACAATAAATGTATACAGGACTTAGAGTCGAAGGCTTCAAACACTGGAGGCCAAGAATCAGCATTCCCAGGGGTTCCTCTAGGACTGAGGAATGACTGTCCACAATCATCTACTTAATGATCTCTCCATAAACAGCCATTCTTCTTTATTTTCACAGTTGGGTTTATTGGAAACATTCATCATAGTTTTAAAACTGACACACGAGGCCATGTTTCCAAGGCTTAAAGTACAAAGGATAATTAACACCACTATAATAC